TCCATTGCCATTCCAGAATTTCGACAGCCGATGCCAGACCGTGCCGCCGCCAGAACGCAGGCATGGACCAAGCACAAGCTGGAACATCGGTGAGCACGATCATCCTTCCATAAGGTTAACCTAACGGTGTGCTCGAGTTCTGTCTTCGCTGTACAGTCAGCCCACCGCCGACCCGTCGCAGATGTGCCGACCCGCCACGAAAACGAATCAATCACCATGGTAAGAATTGGAATGTGTTTGCTCGTGTTGTGTTGGTATGTATGTGATGTATGGTGTCGTAACCACTTTTTAGCTGGCGAATCTGGTGGATTATGTAGGACTGTGCTGCGCGACGGGAAGGCCAGAGCGACGACATTCAAGAAATCGATGTTGTGGTGCAATGGAAGCGCGCCTGCTTGCAGGAGGTCTGGGTTCAATTCCCAGTAACGTCAATCCCACCATGCACGCGAAAACACGACGCAAGGTAGGTAGGTGCACAGAGTAAGCGGTACCGTACCGGTACCTGTTGATCCTTCGCGAATGCCATTTATGCATGAATGTGTTGAATCGAATTCGATGCGCGTTAAATGTATTGTTGTTGTGCTGCTTGATTATTGGATTTCTTCGCCTTCATTACAGTTGTACCAGGGATGACCAAAATGATATTCAGTATTCATTCAAAGGTGACAAGGACAAGAATAAGTTATTCTTTGACAGGAAATGAAAAATGAATTATTCGAATTATTCCAACTCGTACATGCAAACAAAATGTGACTTAGTCTTCAACTTCGGCGTCCGTCAAATCGCGAATGTCTTCAGCGGTCCAGAATTCTGCATTAAAATGCAGAAACATTTGAGCCTCAATATTTTTTGGCAAAATTCGACTGCGGTTGTCCGACAAGGCATGCTTCACAACCGAAAAAAATCTCTCGCAGATGTTGGAGGTTGGACGAAGGAAGCGAAGGTCCATGCAATAGTACAACTGTTGTACTATTGCATCTCGTCTACTTGTTCATCTGCGTTGGCTGCGTGCATAATATTAACAACATTGACTGGGTTGAACACTGCTACTCGTTGGAAGTCAGTGTACGATGAGCCGGAAGGAGATGGTCGGTACTGTGTGCTCCTCACTTGTACTGTGTTTGGTTCATGTTGCGCTGTTGTGGTCTGTTGCGTTACACTTGTGGCACTTCTACGTTTTGCCCGATCGTGTCTGACTTGCAATGCGGCGTTTCATTGGTCGGTCTACTTGTCGATAGAGTGGGGAAAAGCATATTTGAACGTGGTTTTTGGTATATTCACACGTGTCGTTACAAAAATGGTGTGCATACACGTGGTAATGGTATGCTTACACGTGGAGGAGCATTTGCGCGTGGTGGAGCATTCACACGTGGATATATTGATCACAAATATTAACAGGTGTTAAATAATCTGAGCAGTGCGGTAGGGAATGTTCCGTATGCCCTCTACACGTTATGTCTTCTCGACACATGTCGCATTCATCGCAAAAAACTATACCTCGACCATTCCTTTTGCACCACGACACATACAAACTACTACATCTCGGCCATTCCTTGGCCAAAACCACTCATTCTTGGACTGGTGTTACCGCTGAGGGATGCCCTCAGCGGTGGTACCAGTCCCATATACATAGCAAAAGACCAACTTGTCAACCTCGGTGTCGAACACCTCGCTCCGCCGACCATAGCGGCACCACGACACATACAAACTACTGCCTCTCGGCCATTCCTTGGCCAAAACCACTCATTCTTGGACTGGTGTTACCGCTGAGGGATGCCCTCGGCGGTGGTACCAGTCCCATATACATAGCAAAAGACAAACTTGTCAACCTCGGTGTCGACCACCTCGCTCCGTCGACGATGGCGGCACCGCGACACATACAAACTACTGCATCTCGGCCATTCCTTGGCCAAAACCACTCATTCTTGGACTGGTGTTACCGCTGAGGGATGCCCTCGGCGGAGACAGGTTTACGTCGTAGCCAATGATGGTATTAAATAAAAGGGTTCTTTTGAAAGTGCTTCTGGCAAACGATGATTTCGAAACAACCCATGCCATCGCTTCCCGTTGCACACGTGTACACGTGAAATCTCTGCAAGGACAACGTACAGCGCTCGTACAACAAAGTTGACACACATTTCAAGCGGCAGCATGCCGATTATACTGCGGCAGTCCACAAGAATCACTGCACGAGGCATCGGGACTTGGAGAAGACTCGAGAAACTACAAAGGCGGCGATGAACAAGGTAGAGACTCCATTGTTTTGATACTCTAACGTCTGAATAGGCAGAAATCGAACTGGTAGTAGCGAAACTACCAACTCAAAATATGCAGTTTATGTACCAGTTGATTGCTCCGATATATTTTGCATTGGGATTACCTCTTCCCGACCTAGAACCACTTTTAAAGAAGCGCGCAGAACGTGGTGAAGTGCGCAAGGCGATGGTGCAAGAATCATCGAATGCGCTGCTCCCTTCATTGGTAGCGACATCCACATTAATGTCTGACGTAGCCAAAGCAACGACGACGGAATTCAATGAGCGGCAAGGTTCAACCGCACCAAGGAAAAGAGTGTCCAAGCCAAAAGCCGCTGCTACACCTGCATCCACCACTCCTGCGGCGACGAAGCCAACCGATCCACGGCGTGAAGTGCACATATAGGTTACCACAATATAAAGTGCTCACTATTGTTAATGCACATAGTTGTTTATGTTTGGAGGTTTTCGGAGCTGACATAGGCAAGTCGGTCTTTCGCAATTTATGCGGGACTGGTACCATAGCTGAGGACATCCCTCAGCGGTAACACCAGTCCAAGAATGAGTAGTTTTGGCCAAGGAATGGCCGAGATGCAGTAGTTTGTATGTGTCGCGGTGCCGCCATGGACGACGAAGCGAGGTGGTCGACACCGAGGTTGACAAGTTTGTCTTTCGCTATGTATATGCGACTGGTACCACCGCCGAGGGCATCTCTCAGCCGTAGCACCAGTCCATAAATGAGTGGTTTTGGCCGAGGAATGGCCGAGATGCAGTAGTTTGTATGTGTCGTGGTGCCGCCATGGTCGGTGCCGCGAGGTGGTCGACACCGACGTTGGCAAGTTGGTCTTTCACTATGTATATGGGATTGGTACCAGTCCAAGAATCAGTGCGTTTGGCCAAGGAATGGCCGAGATGTAGTAGTTTGTGAGTGTCGAGGGCATCCATCTGTGATGGCACTAGGCCATGAATATGGAAGGGTCGAGGTAGAGTAATCCAATAATCCAACATGTATCTATATTTGATCGCATGGCCAAAATCATGTGGGCTTCCCGCTTACTGCGTAGTAACTTGTAGAGTACACTGTTGGATTTTTTGCGCGGTCTACAGGCAACTATTTTTGACTGGAAATTATACCACGTGCAAACCGTCCAAATTGGCGTACGTAGATTGAAACACGTGCAAATATACCACCTAAATTTAACCACGTCCATGCACGCCAAAAACCACGTGCAAAAATTCCACACCCGATAGAGTGGAGGTGCCTTGACTTTTGCGTCGGATACAATATCCACTAGGTGTGACAATGACTCCCCACTTTAACTGCGGGTGATACATGCCCAAGTCCCCACTCTAATTTGTACTGTGAAAAAGTATTTTTTGTTGTTATGGTGCAAGTCACCTAAAGACTACAAATAAATGCCTTGACTTTCGACAGCTATTCCAACTTTGTATTGATATTATTTAGGAAAATATACCGTAATAGAGTGATTTTGCTACGTGATATTTCCTGAAAAGTTTCACGATGAAGCCTTTTGATCTGATTATATTGGGAATTTCTTGATGAATATATTCTGTCAGAATTTCTGACTGGGAATACCTTTTCACACACAGTAGCCAATCAAAACACTTGAACATGCTAAATTACCAATTTCGCTTCATGGATGAATGGCATGGTCGGCACCAAACGTAGATGAGGGGTAGGTAGGACGCACTAGTAGATGAGCGAGGATATCGTAGGCGAGCAGTGGTATAGTGCCGAACGTAAACCAGCCAACAGATACATCCTATCCCCCAGTGTCCATCGACCACCTCAAAGCGGCCATGTTTGAACGTCGGCGTGATGCACACTAACTACAGCATATAGGGATGATGCAAGGTCACAAACTGTACACATTGCACCTAATGCATTGGGTTGTTGATATGCCTAAAGATTGGGAGCCGTGTCCTACCGGTAGGTGCTCCAGAAGAGCCGCAACAACGCACACAGCGGCATTCCTGCTTAAATTTGAATTTTTCCTATAGCAAAAGCACCTTCCCAACATGATATTCACCGAAGGATTTTCAGGGA